GTGTGTGCGTGTGCGCGTGCGTGTGTGTGTGTGTGTGTGTGCGCGCGCGCGCGTGTGTGCGTGTGTGTGTGTGTGTGTGTGTGTGTGTGTGTGTGTGTAAATTTGTCACATGGGGCATCGTTCATCTACGATGAAATTCATCCGTTAAGCTACAACGGTATAAAGATATCATAGAGATCTCTACAAGGTAAGTGAATGAAAGAGAGAGAGAGAGAGAGAGAGAGAGAGAGAGAGAAAGTAAATGAGAAATCGCATAGGTGCATACTATCGCGTATGGTAAACACGTCGACGCAGCGAACGCCCTGCAGTAATTGCCTGCGTCGGACGGTGAGTTGTGCCATCCCTGCTTTCCGTACGCATCTCGTTATTCGCTAACTTTTTTCTTTTATAATTTAAAATGTAAGCGTCGGACAAAATTTTCGTTGAGGAAAAATCGTCTCAGAATTAATTCGTATATACTCCTTCGAAGGAGTACGTCCTTGCAAGGACACGGGATTATTCTGAATCACTCTGTATATATATTTCATACAAGTAACGGCCCTGCCGTACTTACACTCCGAAACTATGACCAATTATCAAACTCGCCGCAAAACGACATCGTCAACCACCAATCGGACACGTGGAAAAAGAGCAAATATGCTATCTTGCTTATTCATTCGTTCTCTCTTATTTACTCTCGTTGTGCGTATTATAGAAAAAAATGTCAAGTATAAAAATGTCGAGACGCGCTTTTCGAATATAGAAAGATGGTTAATACTACAAAATGTCTAATATCACTATAAAATTACCTTTTTAAAAAGGTAAAAAAAGGGTGTCGAGTATAGTGGATGCTTGAAAAAAAAGAACTGTTGTTAAAAAGTTAAAAAATCTAACAATCTTTTATTTTAAAGAAAGAACCTAAAGATACATATTTCTATATCTTCATTCAACAATTGTCTTTTTACTTTAACCCATGGTAGTAGTTTTAATTCTTTAAACAAAATTGTGTTACGAAATTGCTATATCTAACTCAATTCTAGTTGTGATCAAACTAAAAAATAAAATCGAAGTGCTAGTATCTTTGTGATCTTTGTATTCAACAATGTCCTTGTATTTGAAAAGTCTTCCTATTCTAACTCAAATGATATTAGCTTTAAAAAACAAAAAGATTTGTTTTCACATTGCCAACTCGACTCAAATGATATCATTTGTATAAAATATTTGATATCAATAACTGGCGCCAAGTTATAATCCTATATAATTCCTATTATAAATCCTGTTATAATTCTTATAAAAATTGCGTTATTCTACTAAACTCAGGTGATATGTATTTCTATTCTGACTCAAATGATATTAGCCTTAATTCTTTAAAAAAAAAATTTTGTTTCTACATTGCCAACTCAAATGATTGTAATAATGTATAAAATTTGTATAAAAGATTTGATATCAATAATTGGCGCCAAGTTATAGTCCTATAAACATTGAGCTACAAGTCCACTTTAGTCAAATTACGTATTTCAATTGTATAAAAGATATACCACTATTTAAAAAAAATAAAAGTAGTAATATCTTTAAGTAGTATCTTTAATTTAAATAATAATAAAAACCAAATTATATATATATCTTTCTATCTAAGACTTCTTTTGCTAATCCAAGTGACAGTAATTATTTAGCTTTAAAATATTATTATATCACAAAATTGCTTTACTTAACTTACGTTTTTATCACAAAGAATTAAAAAGTAATAGTACAAAATAAATGATAAAATTTTATTTAAATAAAAAAAAATTTTATGTAAA